GATGTATGTCCCTCTGTTTATATGTCCCTTAGTTACATGTACCTTGACATTTTGACATGAGCCACTGTTGTATATTCATGTGTCCCTCTGTTTATATGTCCCTTAGTTACATGTACCTTGACATTGTAACATGAACCACTGTTATATATATATGTGTCCCTCTGTTAATGTGTCCCTTCGTTACCTTCCTTGGTATTGTTACATGAATTACTGTATTGTATATTCTTACTATAATCTTTATTATGTTTAGAATGAGATAGGAATAATTTAACTTCAGACTCAGGATTCAGTAACTCGTCAGTTGAAACCTTCAATTAAATATCGTCATACCATAAGGCGAACCATATGAACGATATTTTTAATCTAATTCCTCACATGATTATTTTCCTTTTGTTTATGTATATAAAAGATGTGTATTATCATTAGCAGATCATATGCTTACCAATTTGTAAAATTTCAGTCTATTGGGGATGCATGACTAAGGCCATTTTGACGGGAGGAATAGCTGTGGCAGGATTGGCTTCATTCGCACCCTTCCTTGGTGTTTTTGGGTTTGGTGCAGCAGGAGTAGGCAAGGGCACTCTCGCAGCATCCTGGATGTCCTCATACGGTGGTACAATAGCCTCAGGAGGTGTGTTCTCTACCTTACAATCTCTCGGAGTCGTCGGTCTTGGAGCAACAGCCAAGGCAGCTATAATAGCGTCTGGAATGGCATTGGGATGTATTACTGAAGTGGCATAATGTGACTCAGATTACTGAAGCGTCTGATAGCAAGACACATGGGGGGAAAAGAAGCTCATTGTCATCTTTGTTTTCTTACACTCATTGTGAAAAAATATATCCACTATGTCCGATATTTATTTTAATTAATTTTGATCCATTTATTACGATATTATTTTGATTTCAATGCTGCACTGATATAATTGATGATTTCCACAATTTTGCTTAAAGGATTGACTGATGCTTTTGAAATTCTTGATCAGTTTATTTTATTACATCGGTAAGGGGCTATTGGTTTGGTCTATAACTTCCGATGAGAACATTAAGTTTTGTCTACGCTCGATTTGCTTTGATTTCTGCAGGCAGTTTTGAATATTCATTGACTGATTTGTATCAGACTTGTCATTTAAGATTTAAATTGGGCTGTACTAGAAAATAAATTGTGTATTGGTAATTTCCATATACTATCTTGAATATTCACCAGACTTTGCCATGTTATGGGTAAATGTTTCGATAATACATCTATTCTGCTTTAGACTCTGAATTAAAAATGATAAACGATGTTCTGTAGATAGCTGATTTCTTGATCTGTAGTTCACTAAGTCAAACTTGAATATATTCATGGACTGATCTTCACAAACTTTGTCTTAAGGACTGTTTTGGTTGATCAATTGATGTTCAAAAATGACCCAGATATTTACATAATTAGTGATGTCATCTTAGGTAGCTTCAATTGGTTTCAGAGGCTAGCTTGGATGTTTATAAACTGATACTTCCTGGCTGATCTAGAGATATGCAAGCTACATTGAATCATCAATGTGTTTAAACTGATACTACAACAGATACCTGACTGGTCTAAATATGCGAGCTACATTGAATCATCAATGTGTATAAACTTATTTGCATGCAACATGTCAGAAGGTATGTGTCAGGGTGCTACAGGCTGCTTTGGAATATAAGTGTAATAGGTGAATATTTAACTATATTAGTCAAGAAGATGAATTCTGATTGTTTAATTATTTCCGCATCTTAGCTTGAATATTTATGGACTGATTTCCGTAAAACTTTACCACACGTTTTTGTTAGGTGATATAGACGGATTTGAAGGTGAACCATCACCATTCACTCAGCTAGCAGTATACATCGTAACTGGCCTCGTGTACAGCTCTAGATTTTGTGGTATTTGACACAGATATGTTACCCATTAACCGGTGATGAACTACATTTTGCCTTGTTTTATATGTTTATTTTACAATTGTTTTCGTTATAAATGAAAGGACTTTGTTCAGTGAGAAAGTGTGAATATCAATGTAGTTATTAATGTTAAGTTAAATTTGCCAAACCACATGGCACTAATTTCATACAGAAAGTTTCATTATAACGTAAAAATTAAAAGCCAATCAAACGTTTTTAACTTACGGAAATGTTGCACAACCTTGTTTTAAAGTTCTTTTTTGCTTCTTTAGATTTGAGGTATACCTGTGGTATGTCATGCATTGTTCTGCATTTTCAAGTATAGCCTGAGTATGTATAAATTATCTGAGCCTGAGTATGTATAAATTATCTGAGTCTGAGTAAATGTATGAAATATCTGAGCCTGAGTATGTATAAATTATCTGAGTCTGAGTAAATGTATGAAATATCTGAGCCTGAGTATGTATAAATTATCTGAGCTTGAGTAAATGTATACATTATCTGAGCCTGAGTATGTATAAATTATCTGAGCGTGAGTAAATGTATACATTATCTGAGCCTGAGTATGTATAAATTATCTGAGCCTGAATAAATGTATGAATTATCTGAGCCTGAGTAAATGTATGAATTATCTGAGCCTGAGTATGTATAAATTATCTGAGCCTGAATAAATGTATGAATTATCTGAGCCTGAGTAAATGTATGAGTTATCTGAGCCTGAGTAAATGTATGAATTATTTGAGCCTGAGTAAATGTATGAATTATCTGAGCCTGAGTAAATGTATGAATTATCTTGACATTTTGTTATACTAAGTGTTGCACTTGCCTTGTTGGTGTTGTGTTTTACCACGGTCTTGGATAGCTAGGTACGATAGGGGAGGGAGAAAAGAGGTAAATTATTATTTAGGAATGAAAATATGGAAATTTTATTTGTGGTCATAACCTAGTGTTAGTTCTGTCCCCATATTCCAAAGCCTTTGTTGAATTTCTAAATATCTCATACCTACATAATATTATAATAAGATGACTCAGTTTGACTGCCATTGCATGTAGAAAGTCAATATGGTTAGGCTAAGCATTATCATGAAATTGCTGTCATATGCTATCAAGTCAAATAATAAAACGATTATTGCTTATTATTCTGTTTGTCTCATTTAATTTCATAATATCTTGGGAAATGTATAGAAAATGGGAGAATATTGAGTTTAAAAATGAACTGAGAACCAAGGAACAACAAGGGAATACCGTCATGTTTACAAACCATAGTTCGAACTCAAAATCGATAAAACTAGGAACAAAGGACAGTTTTACTTTAAAAAGTACAATGAGAATAAGACCACGTGTTCCGGAAGGGAAAGCATTTTCTGCTTCATCGACGTCACCCGCCATGTTAACCTTGGTAAAATCCAAGTAATGCCACATCCTGTCACCGAGAACTCGGATAGTGGCAGCGAAATCACAAGACAAAGTGATAAGCACAATACAAATTAATGACCTTCATATCACACAAATAAATAGCATACTTCCCAATTAGATCACGATGGCGACCATAATCATTATCAACATGCATTCTATCACAAAATCATACCAAGTCTTTGACCTGCAAGTAAACCAAAACAGATGTATTTATCAGTACATTGGGACAGACGGCCAACCACTCTTACAAGGTCTACTAGGATTTCGATTTGAGGCAGATTGAGATTAAAATCTTATTTATATTTTAAAGAAATAACTACTAAGTAAATCCCATATAAGAATTAGAATGTTTATGGAAAAACATTTCAACGAGTAGCACCAGGTGATAACTAACAACCGGTGGTACATGTATATAGTTCAATAATGAGTAGGGTTGTTAAACCGGACAAATTTTGGAAACCGGTCACTCGAACAACTTTCCGATCGAGTAATCGGTTAATCGGTCAATTTGGTAATCAAACAATCAATAACAACATCGGCAGCGCAACGGTATCACTCCGCTATAGCTTCGACGGTACCGTTGGCACATCGGTAGAACAACGGCCGCGCCTCGGTAACACTGATGTGGAAGAAAAGTGGTTTTCGGTAGCAAATCGGCTCTTACATCGGTAGAACAACGGTATCACAACGGGAACGCCGGAACTACATCGGTATTGCTACGGTCAATTTAGATTTTTTTAAAGTGCTTTCTCGCCGGAGCTATGCCGATTTTCTCGCCGTTGTACTTTTTTTGCTCCGGTTTAGTCCCGGCGAGGAACATCGGTAGGCCCTTTCAACGCATTAGACCACAAACGTACATGTACATATTAATTATCAGGATAGTTTACTCGCATATTTCAATCTGAACGCAGGAAACAGTTTCTTGTATCCGCTGTAAGTATATTTCATGGACAAAAAAACAAATGTTTGAATACAGAAAGGCGTTATCTGTACTCGAAATCATATGCGGTGGTATTGTTATTTAAAACAAAATTAAATCGACAAACGTTTTAAGACATGCTTGCTCATTCAAGTGTATCTCGCCTATAAAAGTTTACAACTTTGTATTCTGGCTTCCTTTTAAAATCTGTTCAGAATTGTTATAGTGTTGTCGGCATCTCTTTGTCAAAAGTGCAAAAAACGACACTAACATGTAAGCATGAACACTGTTTTTATTACAAAACTTTTCGATTTTTGTCGCATCTATTGTAGGTCTAAGCCAGGGAAACAGGGAGGTCCCCAAGGTAACAATTATTCGGTTATTGATTTTGTTAACCGGTTCGTGGTCTCCCGACCGTGTAACCGGTTAACCGGCTAACCGTTTACAACTCTAATAATGAGTGTTGATTAAAAATATAACCATCTTTAATCCACAAAATAAAAGATGATCATAATTCTGCAATTGTAATTTTTGTAACAAAAATATGTCTCTTGGTGCAAAGATCTAAAAAATACAAAAAAAAACCAACAACAGCTTAATCATGTATGAAATGTTATTTGACCATTTCATTAATAAATCAATATTTGTCTTCTGACAATGCATCGTACGCGTGTTATTTGCAGATACAAGGTTTCAAATAACATTCACACACAAAAAGAGTCTAAAAAAATGGTAGCTTTACAATGGTATACATTTTATAAATTAAGCAAGACATTTATTGAAAAAACTTATTGAAATAATAATACTTGTATCGGTATACGTGGACATTTTGATATACCTGGATATATATTAGTTCCTAAACTACCTAAAGGCGATAGTTAATTATCATGCTTTCTTTGGTTTTAACAGTCTTTTGTAGAATAAGTGAGAAAAATTATTATTAAAACAGGCTTTATACTTACATCTGTTCTTCAATTATCATGTTTCCTTTGACCAAATATCGTCCTTAATTAAAAAATGGGATGGTGTCCAAAAGGTAAAATTATTTGAACGATATGCCAATAATCTACTAAAATGCAGTGTAGATAATTCATCGGAATAACTTGGGGATCTCGAAGTATATTGAATACAAACCAAACCTATTTGATCCGAAGTTGTCATAGTTACAGATATGGTCCGAAGTTGTTGTCATAGTTATAGATATGGTAGCATTTATCCAGAGTTACACATGCTTGCCGATACAGTACGACCAAACGACTTGAGTATACTAAAACAATATAAATTAACGTTTATTTTCAAAGTTCAAGAATAACTTAGAAAAAAATCGTGTTTTTTTCCCCCGCTAATAATGTTATAATGTTAAGAGTGACAAATTCCGTAGATTATTTGTTCAAATATTGGGAGAAATATGGGTTTTTCCAACGTTTCCAAAGGTATAAATGGTTAAACATATTTACACATCATATATATAGAATGCAGGCGCAATGCATTATATATTTCATAAATCACTAAATCACTGCCTTTGTTTGTATCCCTACAATGGGGTTCACTTTGAGTGGCGTTGTTCTTGTAGAACTACATAGATTTTAATAGAGACAATAATTATTATTCACATTACAGCCTTTGCCACAAAAGTATACGTTCGTAATACTGGGAACTCCGGGGCAATACACACGCCATGCTTACACATAAATTATGACTGCACCTATTCAGAATCTAAAAATAGATTATTTAACTCTTATGCAGTTACTAATAACACAACCCGGTAACACCTGATGGACGATGGACGTCAGTGATAGACTGATAGGTAAGTGTTTTGCGTTTATTACTTTACCTTTAGACACACACTTATTTGTTTGATTGATCGACTACTGAGAAATCGTTGTGTAGTTAATTATATATTTCTGTTCCTTTCGTAGTGATCGAATCTCACCAACTGCAAATACCTTGTGTGATTAGCTAAGGTATATCAGAATGAAGTCTTTTGAAATAATATAAATGTATCTATACCAACATGGTGATATTTTTTTTTTTATATTTTTCGTTTGCCGATGTTGTTTTTAACTAACATTGTTTTTATTGGGTGTCGACGAAATTTCGTTCTTGTATTTTTTCTACATATACGATGACCTAGATAATATGTGTAAACCGGGAAGTAAAGCTGTGGTTAGCTTTTATGCATATATATATATTTGAGATATTTTGTTTAGC